CGAAGGGCCCCCAACCCAGGAGAGGAGTTTCTTCTCGGCCAATAACTGGACCCCTCCAGCTCCTACAAGCCTGGGGCAGAGGGTAGAAGGGATAACGGTGGGCCTGCCTGACCCTCTTGCCCTCTGGAGGTCACCTGAAGCTTATGCTGTGTGACTGCTTTCCGGTTTTCATACTTATTTCCTCTGTGGGTTTTCGTGTTTTGTTTTTAATATGTCTCAACTGTATTATTTTTTTAAAAAAAAATTGATTTCTTATTTTGTTTGGGTAAGGGTTTTGTTTTGTTTGAGACAGGGTCCAGCACGGGCTGGCCTCAATGTGCTATGTAACCTAGGCCTTGAACTTCTGATCTTCCTACCTCAACTTCCCCTGTGCAGGGATAACAAGTGTCAACAAGCCTGTTTTTATGCAGTGCTGGGAGTTAAAACCCCAACTTTTTTTTTTTTTTTTTTTTTTTGCCCTGGCCTAGAAATCACTGTGTAGATCTGGCTGGTCTGGAGATCACCTCCTTCTACCTCCCAAGTGCTGGGATTAAAGGTGTGTCTCACCGTGCCCAGTTTTACCTAGCTTGCATGCTAGGCAAACACTTCCAACTGAGCTACATCCCCGTCCTTGATTGTTGTTTAAAGGCAAAGGTCTTGCTACGTAGCCATAGCTGGCTTTGTACTCAGGGTCCTCAAGCCTGAACCTCCTAAGTACAGGGATGAAAGGCATGCCCCCACCACACCCAGTTTATGAACCTGGATGTTTTTTTTGCAAATAAGCATAGAGAAACCCCAACCTTGCAAAACCTTTCTTTCCCCCTCCCCCTTCCTGATTTCATCTCCAGTGGAGGGGGCAGTACACAGAAAGGGACCAAGGAGAAGGAGCTGATAACATAGTTGGCTAATTCGAGTGCAGGCCTCACAGGGACGAGGTTGTGAGTTGGAATTCTGTATATGACTTAGTTCTGTTGTGTCCAGGACCGCAGACTCGATAACTGACTCTGGCCCTCTGGCTCTTAAATACAGGCCACTGGTCACATGGTGTAGCAGGCGCAGCCTCCTCTGTGCTTAACTAGAGGAAAGGCTTTTTTTTTTTTTTTTTTTTTTTTTTTTTTTTACATAGAGGGGACAGCTGTTCTGTTCCTGGGGCAGCTTCCATTTTGTTGGTGGCTGTTGGGGGAGGGACGGTGAAGGAGTGGGAAATGACATGAAGGAAATTGTCATTTCCTTTCCAAAGAATTCCAGAAAGGTTTCATGGAGCACGAGGTATTTCAGGAGTGACAGTTGGCTCAGAGAGGATGAAGAACTGGGGGAGAATTGTGCTGTGTGGCCCAGCTGACCATCTGGCCTCCATGTTTCTTGGCATGGGTGAAAATGCCATGGGTGTTCCCAGCAATTCTGAGAGCCATTGACTCAGCTGGTCAAGCCTAGATTTACTCTCACTAGGTAGAGATGGTGGACGTGGCTTTCACATCAGAGCTGCCCCCTGTAGGGGAGGCCTAGAAGGGTGGGTGCTGGATGCTGCTTGATGTGTACCGGTGACAGTCGCAGGCAGGAAGGGTTGGTCTGTCAACGTCAGAGCAGAGGTGTGTGTTTACAAGCGCCCTGGCTTTTTTGCACCCTCTTGCTATGCCCATCAGTGTCTCAAGCAGGCATCATTTCCCACTCCAGTAAGACAGACTCGGGAATGGACTTTGCCTGGAACTATTTGTGTCTTCTGACCTCCACTCTCTAGTAAGGCAGTGTTCAGGGAGATTATAAGCCGTCAAAGCTGTGGCTTAGCCAGACGACCCTGAGAGGACCCCGGACAGAACAGTCCTGTGTTTCTCCTCTACCTCCAATAGGGTGTGCCTTCTGTGGTGGTGGCTTCTTTGGTTTCAAGTTCCTGGGAGAGGGAGGTTATTTTGAGGGACTGGGGGAGAGTGAGTGAACATGCAAATGAGCATTTCTCCACCTCTCACTTTCAAATCCTCAAACTTTTGAAGGGGGAGGGGGAAATTTCTGGACTGAAAAGTTCCATGGTAAGTTTCTTAGCTTTGCTCCCCCCCCCAATAGTCTGTCCCTCTCCACGCCTCTTTGGCTGTCTCTGGCTCCCTCCTTACCCCTACCTTCAGGCAGAACCAGATCACCGGAGATGGTTTTCTAAGATCTTCCAGCAGTAGATAGGAGTTTAGATACTTGAACATGCGGGTATGCAGAAGAATGCTACTGGAATTACCACTCCATTCAGACTTGTTTCGACTTTCCATGCTGACAGTGAAAGGTTCCTTACAACCCAACACACTGCTCTGGGGACTTTTCTTAGCGGAGTGGATCTAGGGATGGGGATCACTCACTCGAGGGCCCATAGGCCCCATACTTACGCTGGGGTTGGCTTTTTTCCCTGGGAAGCATCACAGTTAAACATCCTTTTGGACCAGCAGAAGCCTGACCTGTGCAGCCCTCTCCCATCTTCTGCACAGAATTTGCTTGTGCTTATCATTCTTACCCAGGCACCTCAGGCTATCTGCCCCGAGGGAGCAGGACAGGGAACCTATGATTGAGCGTGTGGCTCTGCAAGCTGGCCAGACCAGAGTAGCCCTTTGACACACAGAAGCTCGCACACACATATGTCCCCACACTTAGCACACATGCACACACCCTGAATATGCAAATATACCTGTGGTCTGTTTGCACACTCACAGCAGACAGATAGTCCACCTCTGTAACTAGAAATGCTAAAAACAATATCAACCCAACTTCTGAGTTTGCGCATTTCTCCTCAGCTGCAGTCAGTGTACATTTAGCTATGTACAGCTCCAAAAATATACCATAGATGCTCTAGGCCAGTACCGTTCATTCACTCATTTGTTCTTTCTTTTGCTCCTTCTTCCTTTTTTATTTTTGTGTATCTATTTAGCTTGGTTTGGTTTTGTGTGTATGTGTATGGGGGGCAGTGTGTTCATGTGGGTGTACATATGTACTGATGCTAACCCACATGTGTATATATTGTGCTGGTGGGGGCCCAGGGGTCAACCTCTCAGGAATTGTCCTCCTTGGTGTTTGTTTGAGAGGGAGGGGTATCCATTTCCCTAGAGCTCACTTGAATAGGCCAGCTAGGCAGCAGGTCTTAGAAATCTGCCCTTCACACTGCCCAAGCTTCATTGGGCCTGGCTTTTTTCAGTGATCTCCAGTGCTTATGCTTTTTTGAAAAGGACTTTAAAGACTGAGCTATCTCCCCAGACCTGGTTTTTGTAGCCCAGGCTAGCCTCACAGCCACATCGACCTATCCACTCCAGCCTCTCAAGTGCTGGGATTACAAGCATGAGCCCCCATGCCCACTACTGCTCTTTTTTTTCCTGCGTGCATTCCATAAACCCAGCACAAGCCAGTGTCTAATAGGGGAGGTAGGGGAAATGCATTGAGGTTCCCTAAGCAAATAGCACCAGCAGAACTTTCGAAAATGAAACGCTGGTTTAAGAAGAGAAAACAAGAAGGCAAAGAAACCTGAAAGGAAGGTCCCCATTGAATGACCTGGGGCAGGAGCAGATGCAGAAGTTTCATGCTGGGACGGTTGGTTTTAGATGAAAGTGATGGCCTTTCATTAGATTACCATGAGAATGCATCCTAGGGGCAGACAGACTGGCCTGTGGGAGGGTAGGATCATTGGAATGCAGGCCTTAAGGGCACTTAGGCTAGGGGAGCAAGACACAAATGGTACTGCAAGGTTTTGCAGGCCACTGAGGGATTGGGTCACATGCAGGTTTGGGTGGGGCAAGGTGGTACCATGGAACCAGAACAACTCTCCACCACCACCACCACACTCCCACCCTCACAGTCCTACTGGGCATGGACCTAGCAGAATTCTCTCTTCCATCCTAAGGGAAATTCAACTCTCATGGCTAAAGCTGAGCTGAGCAACTTCTCCAGGCTGGTCGATGGAGTAGGTGGAAAGGTGTGTGGGCGGAGACTGGGCGGAGCTAGCCCTGTGGGCTAACGGAAAGGAAGTGGGAGGGGCTCGGGTGTCTCCTGTGGAGAGCGGTCATCAGAGAGGTCACTTGTGGCATCCCTCTTTGCCCCCCCCCACATCTGTTCTTCATTTATTTCCCATCCAGGGTAAGGTTTTGCCGGCCTGGCACTGAGTGAGTGCCAGGAGTGGCAAGGAGTTGGGATGTATGCTCTTGCGGGTAGCCTGCGTTCTCCTGGCTCTGATGGTTGAGTCAGCCTGCTAGTAGTTATCCACACATTGCAAACACATCACACACTGAAAGGAACCCAAAGGGCAAAGGACCTGGTACCTGGACAAGTGTTCCAGGTGGAAGAACAGAGCAGGTGTTGGAGGGAGGTCTGGAGATCAGGCTTTTGGGAGTTGGCCATGGGTGTGATCATACTATAAGCACCCTGGGGCTCAGGCAGTGGAGGAGTAGAGGCAGAGGAAGCAACAGGCAGCTGCAATGCCTTGCTAGTTTAAGAGGCACTGGGGAGAAACTTCAGCAGACTGAGATTTCCTGGAATATGGGGGCTGGGCCAGACATAGAGGATGAGGAAGGTTCTGCTGGCCCCTCCCCCAGCCAGGACTCTCCCCATAAGTTCCCAGGGTGACAGTTCAGTCTTGAAACTGAAAGCAAAGCTAAGCCAAGAGCACATACCCACATGAAGTACAGTGACGACGAGGCCACCCTGTAGTGGGCAGGCGGGGGGGGGGGTAGGGTTGCTAATGAGCATGCAAGGCATATGCCCTACTGGCCATGACCCCTCCCCTCCACTCCAAGTGAGACATTTCTTCCTCTGCAGACTGCTCCTCCCAGCCAGCTGGCCCTCACTTCGAAGGTAAACGGAGCCCATGAGCACCGTGGCGCCCCTCTCACCCATGACTCTCAAGCCGGGACATTTACAGAGATTTTTTTTCCTGTTGTCGCACTGCTGCTGCTGGAAGTCTGTCTGGGCGCAGCAGATCCTCTCCCCTTCACCGGAGGATCTGGCCACAGAGCTCAAGGAAGTTGACTTACTCGCTGTCTCCATGTCTCCCTTCTCCTTAGGTTGCTCTTGCTGTTGGCTTAGCCCAGCATTCCGTCTTGAGCCTGGCATAGGCCACACCCAGTCCAGCTCTGGATACCCTCCACGGAGGCTCAGAGAAGGCAGTAGATTGCCCTTAAAGTTCCTGAATAACATCTCTTCATCAAGAGACCACCGAAGCTCCAGGGAGCCGGGGGACTGCCACTGTCAGCTCTGGCAGAAGCCAGTATGGCTATTGCCTTGCAGCCCAGTGATTTAGTGTTTGAATTCGCAAGCAACGGGATGGATGACATCCACCAGGTATGGCCTCTGGGAATAAAACACGGTCAGCCAATATGGGCAACCAGGGGGACATAGACACACAAACAGCCAGCCTGTGAGTCCAGGGGGATTGATAGCTAACTAGTCAGCAAATAGCAATCAGGCACCTGCCTGCCAGCCAGCCAGTGTACGAGCTACTCCTACATGTCACTGGATGGTCACTCGGGGAGCTGGTTGGCTACATGCCATTACAACACATTGTACTCACCACACTGGCCAAGTAATTATTAAGCAGACTGGCTGGGCTGTGACTCTATTGGTAAATGGGACTAAGCAGACACTTGCATACTACTGAACATCATGTAGGGTGTCTGCTACTCCCCTTCAGCCCTAGTATCATAGTAAAAAACCTGCTGGGACAACTACATAGCAAAGATGGCACTGCACCTGGACTTACAACATGCAATCAGAGTCCTCGAATCTTCAGATTCATGCTCTAGACAAATTGGTGGGCACACCCATAAATGTCTTCTCGGCCTGAGGATTCGGGATATGATACAAATAGGGTCTTTGGGCAGGAGGAAGATGGAACATAGGATAGGATCCTGGTACTCTGGTCCCCATTGCTCTATCCCTTGTGTTTCACTGAAGCCAAGAGGATGCTTTTTCTGTGCTGCTAGATGGTCCACAGCCTTCCACTCAGCTCTCTCACAAGAAGAAAGATGAGGCAGCCAGGTGTGGAAGAAGGAAAGGGAGAGTCGAAATAAAGCATGCTTCATTTTAATCTCAGTTAGGACCTACTGTCACCTCCCCAAGTCTTTCCCCTGCCCTATCTGGCTGCTACATCCCAAATCTTTTCCAAGAGACGATCCAGCTGAATATTTCCAAAGCTCTGAGGGATTCGGATGCTCTCCATGGGAGGGGAGAAAATGCTTACTGGCCTTGCCAAAGGCTGCCCTCTAGTGGACCTTGAGCACATTGTACTTTCTGACCTGCTATAACTCAGCTTGGTTGTCTGTTCTGGCTGGGGGTATGCAGTCTCCTGGAAGGCATCATCAGATAAGAAGGGAAGAAAAAGTTAACCTTACCTGGATTCTCAGTACTATTTTTCATCTTTCACTTGTTTCCAGTCCTCTCAACAGCTATTCCTATTCTTTATACTCCAAGCATCCCTCTACCGTCAGCATGGGACAGCCTCTTCTCAACATTGGACAGCCTCTGGTCCAATCGAGAGACACTCAAAGCCAAGGCTGCCCTCAATTGCCCTATTTTCCCCCATTTATCTCTACCATCCTGCTATTATTCCCATCTCATTGACCCAGGAAAAAGAAGTGTCCCTCTTCTGTGCTCGGGTACCTCCTACCCTTTCATATTATCGGTTCTCACCTGCTTCCGAGATCTCAAAAATTAGTCATCTCCTCTCTCCCTGTCCTCCTTGCTCTCCGCTCTCTTCTATTCCTTCTGCCTCCCTCCTTCCCTCTGTCATCTCTCCCCCATCTCTCATCTTTCACACCTCTCAGATATCACCCTAAGGTGTCCCCAACCCTGAAAGCAAATCTTCCCTTTGGAATAGCAGCTTCTTAGAGACAGTCTCTGCCTCAATACTTTTTCATTGTCATCCGCCTTGCATGCCACACAAAGCAGTCTTTGCTGTTAAATGTCAGAGATGAAAGAACACATAAACCATGATAGGCAGGCAGGCAGACAGACAGAGTGACTAGAAAGGAACATGAAAAGACTTAGGTTAAGAAACAAAACACGGGACCGGAGAGATAGTTCAGTGGTTAAGAGCACTTATGGCTCTTACAGAAGACCAAGGTTAGGTTCCCAGCACCCACATCTGGCAGGTCACAACTTCTGTAACTCCAGTTCCAAGCAACCCACTTCTGACTTCTATGGGTACCACACACTTACGTGGTGCACATGGATACATGTAGGCAAAACACTGAAATTTTTTTAAAGATTATTATGTATACAATGTTCTGTCCGCATATATCCCTGCAAGCCAGAAGAAGACACCAGATCTCATTACAGATGGTTGTGAGTCACCATGTGGGAGATGGGAATTGAACTCAGAACCTCTAGAAGAGCAGCCATTGCTCTTAACCACTGAGCCATCTCTCCAGCCACAAAACCAGATACCTAATGATAACTTATTCTGTGCCAGGGCCTGTTGGGACCACTAATCACATGCAGCTTTAGACAACTTGGCAAATGGCTGTACATTGAGTCCTCACCCTTCCCATCAATCAATCCCTCTCCACTAGAGACTCTTCTCATAGACTCAGCTCTAACCTCAGACCATGAACTAACCCAATAGATGAAAAACCCATTGGTCTTGACATCTGGTAGGGTGGGCTACTTGGAAGAAGTGGGTGATCCTTGACCCACATCTCTTTCTTTCCCATAGCTGGAAGACCCTTCAGTGTTCCCAGCTGTGATTGTGGAGCAGGTCCCCTATCCCGAATTACTGCATCTGTATTCGGGACTGGAGCTGGATGACGTCCACAATGGCATCATAAGGGACAGGACCTTGTGCATGACACAGGATCAGATACTGGAAGGCGGAATTTTGTTGGCAGGTCTGTTCCTTTCTGGTTGGGGAAGGGGAACAGGAGCCCACTGTGGCTGCTAGTAGCTCCTCATAATGGGCAAGGCATTCCATAAAAGGGGGGACTATCTCCATCCATTCATAAATTCCTCAGGTGGGGTGGCACAAAGAATGGAAACCAGGTTGGGGGTTAGATGGGAGGGACTCTGGTGTCTGCCCAGCTGTACCACAGAGTCCCTCCTCGTGGTGGCCCTCATTGTAACTGTTCTGAAGCCTGACAGAACTGTCCTTTCTATCCCCCTCCCCCCCGGAACCAGATGAGAATGAGTCCACCTCACAGAATGTAACATCTACTGAAGTCCTATTCAATGTGGAAACTCCCAATGATGTCCTGGATGAGAAGCAGATCTGTAAGTTTGAACTTGAGTCCACTTTGCATCCACACATTGGATTTTCAGGCACATGTAGGTCTAGGTACTCCCATCCATCAGTATACATGGGAGGAGACTCAGGATCACACTGGTAAGAGAGAGTCAGGAAGGCACTAGAGACAAGGGAAAGATGGCCAGGAAAATGTTGGCATCACTTCACCAACTCTTTCTCTTTTTTTCTTTTTTCCTTTTTTTGGGGGGCAAATACACATACAGCACAACGCATCACCTTAGTCATTTTAAAGAGTACAACTGGGCAGTAGTGATTTCACATTGTTGAGCAGCTATCACCACTAGCTGATACTACTGAATGAATAGTCCATTACCTGTTCTTTTAAAGTATTTTTAGTACATTTATTTATTTGTTTATTCGTGTTTTGAGGCAGGGTTTCTCTGTGTAACAGCTGCTGGCTATACTGGAACTAACTCTGCCGACCAGGCTGACCTCAAATTCTCAGAGATCTGCCTGTCCCTGTCTCCCCAGTGCTGGGGTTAAAAATGTGCGCCACCACTGCCCGGCTAAATTTTAAATTATATTTTCTGTGTGTTGTCGGGGGAGGTGATAAGAGTGCTGAGGTCAGATATCGTGGTTAAATAAGGATCAGGAGAAACAAATAGGCCGAATAGATGCTTATTCAGGGAGAAATAACTCACAACCTAGACAGATGAACACCAGCAGGTTCTTTGTCCCAAGGATGACTCCGGATGCTCTTCTGTCCCTGTGCTAAGCCAGAGAGCTCCTGGGGCACCCTCCTCAGATCTAGTTCCCCCAGGTAACATCCGCCCCTGTGTCCACCCACAATGGGCGTAGCCAGTGCCACAGGTGCAGAGAAAGTGAATATCTCACTGTAGTCAGAGGACAACTTTTGGGAGTTGATTCTTTCCTTCCATCGCTTGATTCCTGGGGATGGAACTCAGGTCATAAGACTTGGCAGCAAGTGCCTTACCCGTAGAACCATCTCACAGCCCCTGTTGCCTGTCTATGAAGGCCATAGTCTGAGAGGGCACAGATGCCTGTTGATCCTCGATGGCCCCTATGTCTTTAGAAGATCCCCCCTTCCAAGGCAGCACCTGTCAGTTCCTCTCCAGAAGGTATTCTAATGCATCAAAAGAGCCCCCCACACACACACACAATTGCCCTTGCCCAAGGAAGTACTATGACATAATTGAGGACAAAAAAAAATCTTTGAGGGAGGCTGGAGAGATGGCACAGCGTTTAAGAGCACTGGCTGCTCTCCCAGAGGTCCTGAGTTCAATTCCCAGCAACCACATGATGGCTCACAAGCATCTGTAATGAGATTGGGTGCCCTCTTCTGGCATACAGGTGTTCATGCAGACAGAACATTGTATACATAAAAAATAAATCTTTAGAAAAAATAAATCTTTAGAAAATATCTCTGAGGCTAAAAGAAATTTCTTGCCTTGCCTCTCACTAATATTCATCCCGGACTCAACAAATATTGACTGAGTGCCAGCCTGTACCACCATGTGACCATGGCACATCTCTTGCCGTTTCTCAGTTTCCTTATCAGGAAAGTGGAGGAATGAGGCTTAGTGATTTCCGAAGTCCTTTGAGTTGTCAGATGAGTGGGTGACTAAATCATTCAAGTCCTTTATCTGAATGTAGCCCGGACCTTCCCCACTACGGGCAGTGAGTGATAAATGTAGCCGTTGTGATTGGGGCCAATCAGTTTCTACAGTCTTCAGATGTTTCCCCCTTCACAGGGCGAGACCCCTGAGGCAGCTTTGGGCGTGTCCTATGTCTGGGGCTGACCATTCTACACAGGAGCCCCTAGAGATAAGAGGGAGGCTATGTCTGCCCTTGGCTCTGCCCACCACTGCTCTTTCTTTTTGCAGTCAGCACACCTGAAATACTTCCAGATGCAGACTCTGTGCAGGCCATCAATCTGCCCAACTTCCTGTTTTCTGCTGCTGAACCTGAAGCCCCGAAGAAGACAAGTGATACTGGCGACCAGAAGGAGCAGCCTGTGGAGGGGAGGGTCTCCAGAGACCAGAGTCCTAAGAAGATGGGGAAGCCAAGGAAGAGAAGTAAGACTGTGCGAGAGACTGTCCACATCTTGGGTGGGGGAAGCCTGGGGGGAGGGGGATTGGAGGGGGAATGGGAGGCCCAAGGACTGAGTAGCTTGAGGCTATCGATTTGGTCCAGCATGGGTAAACTAAAGTTCTGTAAGTCTTGCCTTCATGAGGCATCCGTCCCAAAGCTGGCCTTTGTCATGGTGCTCCTATGTGCCCAGCATGTTCATAAACTCCTCTGGCAATGCCACTAGCCTCAGTTGGTTGGATCCTAGGTTGGGTGTTGGAACACCAGACCTAGTCTCCTGGCTAGTTCCTGGACTTTGGGGGCCTTCACCTATAAACATGAGTCATGCTGTATGCTTATCTAGCTTCTATTGCACTTATGAAACAGGCCATCTGTGCAAGGACTTTGGGCTTTCCCAAGCCCCTGTGTTATTGATTTACTTAGGAGATGGCTGCTTGATACTGTGCCAGTATACCTGCTCATATCTCTGGACTACACTCATCTGCACCACAAAAACACCTTTAGGCTGTCTCCCATTCCAAAAGCTAGGGCAGTAACGCCTGGCCTAGCTGTTTTTCTAAAGGGAGCTCTTTTGCAAACCTTGCATCTCCTGACATGGTAGCCTTGATGTGGAGTTAGTTTCGTTTACAGAGTGAAATGGATGGTGCAGTGGCCATGGAGAGGGACTGAGCCTCCTGCCTTAGTGAACTGGCTTGCCTGTGGCGGTTGGTCCCGTCATATCCAGCTTGCCCAGCTAACTTTGGCCTCAGCTTTCTGCTTACTCACTTTCTCCTCACAGGCCGAAAGACAAAGAACAACCGAAGTACCTCACCTGTCACTGACCCCAGCATCCCCATACGGAAGAAATCCAAGGATGGCAAAGGTATAGTTGGGACTCAGGTGAGGTGAGCAGGGTGCCCCCTAATTTCAGAAGCCTGAGCTGCCCCTCACTGCCTACCATTCTGCAGGCAGCACCATTTATCTGTGGGAGTTCCTACTGGCTCTTCTGCAAGACAGAAACACCTGCCCTAAGTACATCAAGTGGACACAGCGAGAAAAGGGAATCTTCAAGTTGGTGGATTCCAAGGCTGTGTCCAAACTGTGGGGCAAGCAGAAAAACAAGCCTGACATGAACTATGAGACCATGGGGCGTGCTCTCAGGTAGGACTTGTGGGGACCTGGAATTCCTGCCCTGGGAGATTACCAAGATCTTCCTATGGGCAAGGCTTTCTCACTGGAAGGAAGGCCTGAGCGGTCCCCTCTAAGATGAGGGTCTAACACTCCTTTTTTCCTCCTCAAGACTCCTCTTGCATGTCTCTATTGAAAAAGTACTTTAGCTCCACACATTCCCAATCTTCTCACATTGCAGAAGCCACAGATGGCCTTGGGTTGTCCCAGATGGCTTCTCAGGCCAGGGAATTGTTTTATCTCTATCAACCATCCCTTCATTCATTGCCACTCTTCACTCACTCCCTCACTCAATCTCTCATTCACTCACTCACTCTCTCCTCACTCACTCACTCACTCTCTCTCTCTCTCACTCATTCTCTCTCACACTCACTCTCTCACTCACTCACTCTCTCTCACACTCTCTCACTCATTCTCTCTCTCACACTCTCTCACTCTCTCTCTCACTCACTCACTCTCTCCTCACTCACTCTCTCTCACTCACTCACTCATTCACTCACTCACTCTCTTCTCACTCACTCACTCACTCTCTCTCACTCACTCACTCATTCACTCACTCTCTCTCACACTCTCTCACTCTCTCACTCACTCACTCAATCTCTCACTCACTCACTCACTCTCTCTCTCACTCACTCATTCACTCACTCACTCTCTACTCACTCACTCACTCTCTCTCTCTCACTCATTCTCTCACTCTCTCCTCACTCACTCACTCTCTCTCTCTCTCACTCATTCTCTCTCACCCACTCACTCACTCACTCTCTGTCTCTCTCTCACTCACTCACTCCTCACTCTCTCACTGTCTTTAACCCCAAAGTAGTGTGGGCTAGGCATTGAAGACCCTTTTTTGTACATCCGTTAGACTGTAAAAAATAAACTTTTAAAAATGTCATACAAAGTTCTTTGTGTCCAAGACTTGTCCATCCCTCCCTACCTCATCCCACTCCTGGACTGCTCCTCCCCATCCTGCCTGAATCCCATGCTCGCCCTGCCCTAGAGACTAGCGTGTTTGACAGATGGAGAGACAGCCTCCTTACTCAACCTCTGGTGAACTCACCAATCCCATTTTTGTACTTCCAGATATTACTACCAAAGAGGAATTCTGGCCAAGGTTGAAGGGCAGAGGCTGGTGTACCAGTTTAAGGAGATGCCCAAGGATTTGGTGGTGATTGAAGATGAGGAGGAGAGCACTGAGACACCGGAAGCACCACCTCCCCAGGCGTCTACTTCCTCCACGCCCTCCACCGGCACCATCCGGAGAGCCAGCTCCAGGGTCTTAAGCAGAGGTTCCTCCCAAGACAAGGATAACCCTTCCTGGGAGAAGCCAAAGGTTCAACACACTGGTCTCCAGCCATCTGCAAGCCTGGAGTTAGGACTGTCTGTGGATGAGGAGGTCCCCACTACCTCCGCCATGCTTGTCTCTCCACTACAGAGCCAGGCCAAGCTCACCAAAACTGTGAGGTAAGGGCACCAACGTTGAGTGGAGGTCAGTTGTCACCTTCCCGGGAAGCTCTGCTGTGCTCCCACTTTTGTTGGAGCTTTCACAGAACTCCCTACGAAGCAAGCAGGGCACCTATTGGTCAAGAGAGGAATGATGGGGCTGGAGAGACAGCTCAGTGGTTAAGGGTGGGAACTGCTCTGGCACAGGACCCAGGTTTGGTTCCCAGCGCATCAATTGGGTAGTTCACAAATCTTGAGAGGGAGGGGGAGAAAGAGACAGACAGAGATGTGACTCGCCTGAGATCACATACTAGAGTAATCTGAAGCCAGCACTTCACTTGGGGGGAGGGGCTTCTGCTACAACATATGACTGTTCTAGAGTGTGTCCTCAGGAGCCACCTGGGGCTTCTACATCTGGACTCATGCCAGTAAGTCTTTTTCACTTGACAACAGTGAACACATGTTGCTGCAGACAATACTGCTTTCCATGCCTCTTGGGAAGCACTCATTCTCTTTGATGCTAAGTTCTCTGAAAAGACAAGATTTTGGTCATGTCATGGGGACACTCTTCAGAGGAGGGGACACAGTCAAGTAGAATGTCAAGGAACATGAGCTCTATGTAGGTGTCAGCTTCCATGCAAAGTCCCTGCTCCGGGTGTTAACTAGCTCTGTGGCTGTGGAGTGTGTGCCTCAGTTTCCTCAAACTGTACAATTAGATGATGCTTATTGAGTTCATGGGTGGTTTTGAAGTTTGAACAATGTCCATCTTGCAGTATAATCTTGGACCTATAGAAATTGATGAATATTAGCTGGAGTCCTAAAGGCACAGCATATGTGTAACTTTATTCCTCTTGTGCCTCATTGCTAGCCAATTGGGATGTTTCCTGCCTTAACCAGTTCTGTGTTCTGTTTCTTCTTAGTACTTCTTCGGTGCCCAGTAACATCCACCTAGGAGTCGCGCCTGTGGGGCCGGGCTCCACAGTCACCCTGCAGACCATCCCGCTGACTACGGTGCTGACCAATGGGCCTCCTGCCAGTACTACTGCTCCCACTCAGCTTGTTCTCCAGAGTGTTCCACAGGTGTCAACATTCAAGGACACCTTCACTTTGCAGGCCTCCTTCCCCATAAACACCAGTTTCCAAGAGAATCAGGTGGCAACCCAAGGGGCTCCGTTGATCCTCAGTGGCCTCCCTCAGCTTTTGGCTGGGGCTAACCATCCGAGCAACTCAGTGCCACCCCAGGTCATAGGTGCTGGCTCAGCAGGGCCTAGCTCTCAGCCCCCTGGGACTGTCATTGCTGCCTTTATCAGGACTTCCGGTGGCACATCAGTGCCAGGGGTGAAGGAAGGGTCCCTGAGGTCCCCCTCATATGTGCAGGGTGTGGTGACTGGGCCCCCGGTGGAGGGGCTGTTGGTTCCTGAAGAGACCCTGAGAGAGCTCCTGAGAGATCAGGCTCATCTTCAGCCACTTCAGAGTCAGGTGCTTTCAAGGGGTTCCCATAACCTGAGCCTTGTGGGGAGTCAGACTTTCTCTCCCCCTAGCCGCCCCACTGTTGGGCTAACCCCAGTGGCTGAACTTGAGCTCTCCTCAGGCTCAGGGTCTCTGCTTGTAGCTGAGCCTAGTGTGAGCACATCTGGGAGCCTGCTGACCACATCTCCAACCCCAGCCCCTTTCTCCCCTTTCAATCCTACTTCACTCATTAAGATGGAGCCTCATGACATATAAACAAAGGGATCCAAAGTATGGCCTAGCAGGCAGAATTGTGACCCATTCTCATGTGCACTTAAGTAGAATACCTGCCCTTACATCTAGTGGCGTGTGAAACATTTGATACCAAGCCTTCCAGACCTTGTTCTAACATCACCACGATCAAACTATGCCCAGCTCAAGCATTCCTGGCATCAGACCATGGCCTTCAAGAGCACTCGGGAGTAGATATGCTCTTAGAAGGATAATGGGTTAACTTAGTGATGGGGGTAAAGCCCCCAAGCTGGGAAATAGCTTGTGGCCAGAGCTGATCAGAGGCCACATGAGAAGTGAAGCCTGGTCATACTTTGTTATCTATATTCCCTACATAGGGAACTTACCATCCAATATGTGAATATCTTCGTATGTATTTGTGTGCACTTGTGGGTCTGTGTTTCCGTTTCTTTGAGGAGGATGGGATGTAGATGTCAGGTCTTTTTTTCAAGAGTGTGTGTGTGTATGTGTGTGTGTATGTGTGTGTCCATCCATTCCTAGGTCAGCCACAGATATGAGGCAGTTTTAAGAGAAAGTGCTCTCGTTCACTCGCTCGCTCACTCTCTTGCTCGCTCGCTCTCACTTGCTCGCTCAATCCTCTCTCTCCTAGCCACAATGCCATTCTGAGACTAGAACGTTGGATGCCCCCAGTCACAGAGATGGAACAGGTCTAGGTAGGAGAGCTTCAGTGGGTGCATATGCTGAGGACATTGCTAAGGGACAAGAGGCCACAAATATTAACAGCATAGCGAGAGGGAAAAGGAGCATACCTAGCCTTGGGAGCAATTGCTTGCCATTAGGCTGGAACCTGGAGTACTTTGCTGAAGGTTGTTAACCCTAATTATAAAGTCCCTAGCCAGGCCTGAATGGATTGAATGTTCGTGGCCAGGGCGTTTGGCTGTTTGTAAGATCGTCCTTATGTTTAACTATATATAGCCTTTATCGGCACAGTGCTCTTCATTGCCTATCTCAGCTTCCCTCTTCATTCTGTTCGCCCTGAGATGTTCCACCTGGCATGAGGTGCTGGCTTAGTGAGGTAGCAGCCCAGCTCCAGCCACACACTCTATCCCACCGGTCCCTCTCACAGTGGCTCGGAAAGACTTCAGGGCCGTTGCTTTTTATTTCTAGCTATCACACCTAAACCAATTCCTTCTTCACCAAGAAGACGGGAGCTGGCACATGAGTTCCCATGAGTCGACTCTTTGCTTCTCTTCTGTTTCTGCAAAGGGTTCTCCTAATGTCTCTTAAAGTCAGCCTCTCAGCCGAGGGCCTTCATCTCCCTTCCTTGAATCTGCTTGCCTCTCTTAGCAGGTTTAGGGGCAATATTTAGAGATGTTGGGCGCAGAAGCAACTCTAGCCTCTGGTGAATTTGGTTAATGTGAACCAGTGGTCCAGGACCCTTGCAATGTCCTCTGTGCCAAAGCACCTATTTGACCTAACTACCTCCCTGACTGCTCATCATTCTCCCCTACTGTTCTATCTCCTTCCCTGGGGGAAGGAACCATCTGTGGTTATGCAGGTGCATTTGCTACATTCCTGGCAGTTGGCACTGAAATGTCTGTGCTAATAAAATCAGCTTTTGATGACAATCTCTTGATGGTTGGAAATAAGCATCTCGAGAAAAGGTCACCATTGTTGTTGCTGTTATTGTTGCTGTTGCTGTTGTATTGGGGTTTTAGTTTTTTTGAGACAGTATCTCATATAGTCCTTGTTGGCTTTGAACTTGCTATGTAGGCGAAGATAACCTTGAAATCCTTGTTCTTTCATCTCCACCTTGCCAGTGCTAGAACTGCAGGTGTGTACCACCATGCCCAGTTCATGTATTTCTGTGGATCGAAGCCACGATTTTGTGCAGGCTAGGCAAGCATGCTTATCAATTGTGCTACACCCTCAGCTCAAACAGTTTTGAAGAGCAAAAAGGCACAGGGTGAGTTGGGGTCATCCTGCAGCAACCTGGAATCTAGTATCTGTACACACTTCCAAACTCCAAGGAAACTGATTGCCTTAAGGCCATCAACACTTTTTAATAGTCCAATCATGTTTTCCATGCTTCTCAGCCCTTTTTAGCCCACGCTTGCCATGCCCTCCCACACTGTGTGGGCTCCGTATCATCTCTTTATATGTGGATGTTCTCCAAGGGTCCCACCGTTGTCATGGGCCAGTTATTTGAGATGAGTTATTCAATCCAGAATCCACTTCTCTATGTCCCTGACTCACAGCTCTAGTGAGCTACTTCCTGACCTTCTAGACTGGAAATCTCCAAGCTGTCCAGTGGCAACCTGCACTTGACCGTGTCCCTCTCCCTCATCTCTTGACATCTGGCCTATCTTCATTCCCAGAGCCTCCAGCCTGGTTCATGCTGCTCAGCTTTCTCCTTCCCAACACAAGTCAGCACCCTGTCCAATGTGATTTCTCAGCATTTCCCATCTCACAGGCCACTTACTCTGTCCTTCCTGTGCTAAAAGGCCTTCAGTGAGTCCTGGCCTGCAGGTAGGGCCAATATTTACAACACTCATCCTCCAGGCTTTTCTAGAGGCCTAGCATTAACCCTTTAGTTCCTGAATCATAACATGGCCCTGGGGTCCTGTAGGAATTGAGGAGCACTTGGAGAGCTGTGGTCAGTAATTCTAGAAAGATCTGAAGATTGGCATCAGCCCTACCAGGAAACAAAGCTCAAGTCGGTGGCCCTTCACTATTGGGTCTTATCTAACTGTTCCCAGCTCACTCTGAGGTACTACTCCTAAAGGGTTCCATGGCCTTTGGATTTGTTACTGTCATAAATTCCCACCTATGCTTTCTTTTCCTGAGTTCTGTTAAACCAAAATGTCCTCTCTCCTCACTAAGAACTAAAAATTGTGTCTCAAGTCGGAATTTGGTGGAAGCAGCCAGTTCTTAAGTCCAGTTTTTAAATTTGTAAGTGCCACTCGATGGGCAGGTGATTATAAACAGCCTGTGACATCTCTGTTGTAATCACAAACTGTTACGTAGACCTTCAATTTAGATCCGGACCTCCTTAACCTCTTGTGTGTGTTACCTCCTGAGGGATAGGCATCACTGTGACAGCCACCAAGCTGGGCACACTATGAAGCAGAAGAGCACCAATGACTAGATACTGATGGATCTAATGAGAGATGTGTACCAAACCTACCCGTCGGTGACTCCTTTCCCAGGTGCTTCACTGCCCTGGGCCTGCCATTCCTGGCTCAGTGCCCCCATGGTATACCCTATCCCCTGTCTTAACACCCAAGATTTGTAGTACTTTAAACATCTGATCCTAAAGATACCTCTGTGTCCTGGTTCTTTTCTATACAAAGTGGTAAACCAGCTAACCGGCTAACTAACCCTGGCTGACAATAGTTATGGAAGAGGCTAGAGGAGAACCTCAGGAGACAAATTTACTCCAACTAGAGTCAGGTGGCAACAATACCCCTGCTTTTGTGATGGCCCAATGGAGTCAGGAGTCAAGTGATGATCCGCACTTCTCAGCGGCTGATAGGTGGTTCCCTTCTCCTGGCCCTCACAGCACTTTGTATATACCTCTCATTGTAGCACATTGTATGAAGTTCTAAAATCGTGTCCATGTACGTTTCTCCTCCAATAGACTGTAAGCTCCTCAAGGACAGGGGCTGTGTGCTAGTCAGTGATGTATCCCCAGCACCTAGCCACAGTGCCTGACACAGAGTAGGTGCTCAATAAATGTTCATTGAAAGGATGAGTCCAGATTCCAGTTGTGCAACCTTCTGCCCTACATGGCAGCAGGAAGAAGACAAGTAGGCCAATCGGTACTCCGGAGCTATCACAGTATTTTTGTTGTTTTGATGTCATGGTGTGTGTGTGGGGGGGGGATGATCTCATGTAGCCCAAGCTGACTATGTGACCAAACATGACCTTTCCTGTTCTGAGATTACATTCATTGCCAAACTCTTTTTTTTTTTTCTTTTTCTTTTTTGGGAGCTTGCTGTATGCTGGACAAAACCTCTACCAACTGGTCTACATTCCTAGCCCCTACCACAGAGTTTTGACCCATCATATAACATTTCAGGCAGCTACTCCCTTTGCCCACGTGCTTATCTACCGTTGAGCTCACCAGCTCATGTTGCTTTCAACTCTGCTTTGCTGACAAGCAACTCCCAAACAACTGCCACTGTCTCCCTTCCAGCAAGTGCATCAGCCATCAGCACGATTTCCTCATCCCTGGGTGGAACTGAGGTAGAAATGTCACCCCCTTTGGGCGGGGACAAAAATTTTTCTGATGGTCACAAGCTTGCTGACTGTACTCAGGCAGTTGCCTAGGGCTTTGGAGTCTTGGCTCAGGGTGAGCAAACTCCTTTGGGCTCCCAGCCACAGCAGCCTCCTAGTGCATCCGCCCTGTGCGCCGATATACAAGCCAATAGCAAACAGATGGCGCTGTGGAGCCGGCGATAGTGGGCCAGCCAGGCGGAGCCCGGGAGGGAGGGGCAGGCAGGGCGTGGCCCGCTTCTCACTGAGGAGGGGACTGAGCAGGCATCTTCCTGTTCCTTGAACATGCTCCCTCACTCCCAACTTCTGGGCGGCTTTGGTTCCCGCCGACAACCTCCCTACCGCTGGAGCCTCGCAGGTTCCCTGGGGGTCCCCTTCTCAAGGAGAGTCCCGCATTCCACGCAATATCTCCTCCTCATTGGCCAGCTGCTCCCTGGCCCCGCCTACAGTCTCGCGTACTCCAGGTGAGCAAGAGGTTGCTGGCCTCCCTGTCTCGCTGAAGCCTCTCTAGATGGGCCAAAGCAAGCCCTGGTCAGACCAACCCCTCGACAGAGCCCGGTCTAATGCTCCTCTCCTTGGCCTGCCTTTAGTGACAATTTCACTACCTACCACTTTTCCGCTTGAAATGGGAGAATGGTCGAGGCATTTGCTTGCTTGCAGCTTGAACCCAAGCTCCTGGAGGAGGGGTCCTGAGCCTGGAGGAGCAAGCACACCCCCAAGGGCACATCAGTGAGGTGGCCACTCCTCGAAGTGAAAACTATCCCTCTTTGGGGGGAAAGTACAGGCCTGTCCTCTTTCTGTAGTCAAATGCTCTACCACTGAACTTCCCCCCACCCCCATCCTCCTTCTAAATCTAGCATGCCTGAACATTTGGTGACTCCCTTCTAGTGGTTCAGGATGCCTTGGCATACCTGACTATTTGAAAACACGTCAAGACCCGACACAACCAAGTGCCCAACAGACTTCCTAATTAGACCAGATAATGAAAGGGGCAACTTACTGCCCAGTTCACCTCTCCTCTGCTTTATATCATCTGGGAATCAGGCATGAGAATCCAGAGGTGGATAGGGCTGCTTTAAAAAACCCAGAGGACTATCCTGGAAAGGTCAACATTAACTGACCTTGGCACAGAGGAGGAACTAAATTCAGCTAAGCTCTTATTTTGTTCTCGAGAGTCTCATCTATCCAGAGATCGGTAAACTGAGCATCAACAAGCAAGATTAGGCACTTGAGCAAGGTGCACAGTAGTGAGCCATATTAGCTCTTCCCTACCTTACACAGGAAAGGACTCCAAGAACTTTTAAGAGACCACTAGGTGGGGCTGGAGAGATGGCTCAGTGGTTAAGAGCCCTGACTGTTCTTCCAGTTCGGAGGACCCGGGGTTCAATTCCCAGCACCCATAGGGCAGCTCACATCTGTCTGTAACTTCAATTGCAGGTATCTGACACCATCATACCAATGCACATAAGACCACCAGCCTTAGTATCAGGACCCTTGATCCTTATAACCTGCCAATGGTCTCCAGTTCATTTGTGGGTAAAAGCCCATAAGCATGAAAATATGAAACTGCTTTGACCCTTTTACAATTCTCCCCTCCCCAATCCTTTGCTCGGATTGTGCTCTCAATCCAAATATCATTCCCTGATAACTCTTTATACTAAGTATGCACCACCCAGACCATCTGTTCCAATCATCCAGATGCCCTTGTCCAGCCTTTAGAGCTTCCACAGAATCTTGGGCCTGTCTGAATACTATTATGCCACACCATGGCTTCTGTAATTTACTGACTTGCCCAACTTCTGAACTGCAAGTTCCTTTTTGTTATTTTGAGAAAAAGTCTCATGTGTGTAGCACAAGCTGACCTCAAACCTTCCCACTTCTGTCCTTAAGAGAAGTGGGATTAGAAGAATGCATTGTCACACCTTGTTTCTTGTTTTGGGACAGGGTCTTGCCATATAGCCCTGGCTGACGCAGAATTCACAGCCATCCCTCTGCCTCAATACTCCACTCCACTCCCCCAAGGCTGGGATTATGGGCATGTACCACCATATATGCTTGCCATTTTATTGCAAGATTCAAAAAGAGGATGGACCTGAAATTAGAAGCACTATGGGGTGTTTGGGATAACCTATGATCAGAAAGTGCGGAGGGGAACAGCAGTGAGACAGATTAGTGTTGTGCCTCTAAAAGGATGATAACCCTGTATTTGGGCAGACTCAAGCAGAGGCAAATTTCCGAGGTATGGGTAAGGAGAGGAGCTTAAGTTTACTTTTGGAGACTGACTGGACTCTTAAGAAGCCAGGTACATCCTTCCTGTGGCCTGCCCACTCAAGCCACAGTGAGAGGCCCCAAAGATACACAGAGTTTACAAGTTTGTAGGATCCAGACCTTCACAAAAATCTCCTCTCAAAGAGTAGCAGACACATACATTCTGGGGCTGGCAGACAGGATTTTAGCTTGTGTTTATCAAAAAGTGGGAGTAACTGTAAAACTAGGGACAGATTCTGACCTTTATAGCTAGGTCGTTGGAAACTAGAACCATGGACAGCCAGCACTGCTCAGGTGGGCAGGTAAGGCACTGGTACAAGAGTGAAGAGTGAGTGTGCTGGCAAGGATCAAGACAGGGTGTGGGATTACGCAGTGCAACCAAGTGGACAGTCTTGGGCACGAAGAGGATCAGCCGGCAGCTGATCAACTGTATTAGGGAAGATCACCAACACCCAGCAGCCACAGGGGGGACTCCCCTATTCCTGTCACTCCAGTTGCAGACGAGAAATACTCCTTCCACGTCTCCAAATCAAGGCAATCCCAAGTTGGACTATTTGACCCAGAGGTGGGCAGGGGCCCTGGAACATTCTCCCATCGTTTCCAGATTCCCACCCTGACATAATGGCCCAAACCTCTATTCTGCCTTGCCTTTGCCCACTGTGTCCCTAGGGACCACTTAACTCCCCAAAAACCACAGAGGGAAAAAGAGTGAGGACAGGAGACAAAAGCCCTGACACAGGTTTTTCAGTATGCGTTTTTGACTCCACAGCCAGTTGCTTAAAACGAAACATAAAGGGCAGCCAGAGTACACACCAAAATGCAAAACAAAGTAAAGGCAAACAGAAAACAAAACAAAACAAACCACACAGTATCATAAATCCCAACAAAGAAAACTGAAATCCAAACCCCCTCAACTTTATATATATATATATATGTATATGTATATATATAATTTGTTGTTCTTAAAAAGGGAAAACAATTGTTCAAAACCAATCAGGCAGGATGGTGGGGCTGTCCTACAGAAGGGGGCCCAGAAAATCCCCATGGGAACAAAAATCATACAGTTAAAGGAAACCCTGCTCCTAAATGGGTTAGGAGCCTCCAGAGAACAGATTGCCCCATCCCCAAACTGGCTTTCCCCCCCTCCTTTTTGTGTCTTTTTTTCCATTTTCTTCTTTTGTTGTTGTTTAGCACCTGTACAATAAAACTGTACCATCTCCATCCACAGCCAATCACAGTAAAGCCCTCCTGCCTTTGGATGGTACATACTCTCTACAAGGATTGTTCGGAAAAATAGCAATCGGTAGAAAAATAAGAAGAGTGGGAAAGACAATGCCATGGAGGGGTGGGGCCATGGAAACAACCCAAGCTCATCCTCCCTCCCTCTCTGCTGTAACAGATCTCACACTAGGCTTCTGAAGGCCCACGAACTACTCACACAGCTCCAAGTCCCCAAGTGCGTGTGGAGCCAGACTAGAGACTAGTCCCTGCCCTAGCCTAGTCAGTCCCAGGGCCCTTTATGGGTTCCAAAGGAGAATGAGGGGCAGACAGCGGAGGGGGGGGACAAAGGATGTTGAGTTTGTGGTAGGGATGGCAAGGCAAAGGCTAGGAGGTGAAAGGCTCGGTGTCTCAAGATGAGGAGCCCAGGGTAGGTAGGGTGAGGGCAAGGAGGGGAGGGATACAGGGCAAAAGATGCCAAAATAACTTCATACTGTGCATGCTGAGCAGACAGTGTGAGGGAAGTAGCCTCACCCCTCAGGCCCATTCTCAACCTGCCTGGAAGAGAGTAACTCAGGAACCCTACCCTAGTAAGCACGAATCTCAAGATGGCAGGGGTGGGACAAAACTGGCAGGGGGTGGGGGAGCACCAAAGGCCAGGGATTTGCCCCCAGCCCCCCAGCTCTGGGCCAGCAGCAGCCAGGATGTTTACTCATGTGATGATGTCCCCCTATCTGTCCTCACCCCGCTCCCTCCCCAAAAGGGGAAAGACAACCTGGGGACAATTTTTGTAGAGGGAGGGCACACTCCCCAAAGCTTCTCCGGAAAGAAAAAGGAAAGGAGGGAAAGAAAGTCCCTCAATACAACAAGTTGTCTCAAATCGTCACAGTGATACAGACTTATCAGAAACCAATGAAACAATACAAATTAAATACTAATAAAATAAATACTATGGAAGACAGAAGAGTATAGGGAGAGAGGGAGGGG